CACTGGTCAGAAAATATGCATTAATTAATTAATAACAATATTTTTTTTTAGGGTCAGGCCAAGACAAAGTCTTGTCGGCCTGTGCACTTTAATGGCGGTACAGAAGGCACCACCCAGTTATTTTATTTTTTCATGTCGGCCAAAGGTGCAGCAACGCTTGATATGCAACCAGCATCGCCAAAAAGCGGCACCTCATCCCAATCTGAAGGCTACTTAGGGGGTCAATTTACGCGTGGCAATCAGTCTAATGTATGTGAAAACGCTCTTATCGAAAATATTTGTAGACTGCAAATAACTGCAGAAAGTCCTTCTGTTTTGACCTGTTGTGAGAGAATAAACTAATTGAATTGAATTGTTATGGTACCTAGAATTTTTAATGCTCTGCCAAAAAGCATAAAGTGTTGTAATTGTAATGAAGAGTTACTGAATAAAGTGAAATTATAATCATCTTTAATGCCTTACCTATATCATTGAAAATCCTCGAAAATGACGAGGTCCTTGTAAAGGAGGTTAAATCTTTTGAATGCGATGGAAAAACAGTTCTATGACATGAGCGAACTCTTCGCTCCAAAAAATTTATACTATTCCCTTATTCAATTTATATTTCAAATATTCTTTATTTTGTTAAGCATAAATTTGCAGTAGCAATAACACTTTATAAAATAAGTCAAAATTATTCAAACGGTAAAATTTGTTTAAGTCATAGAATTGGCGTTCAAGTACAAAAGTTTTCACTTCCTTCACAAGTTCCTCGTAATTTTCGAGGGTTTTCAGGTTTTTCGGCAGCGAATTAAAAATTCCTGACAAGTTTTCCAATAGCTGTATACTTTGTATATGTTAGCTTATATCATAATAAACTTAAATTTTGAATTTGAAAATATAATTAAATTTAAAAAAAAAATTAAGAGATGTGGCTTTTATTTTGTCTGAATAATCACAAGAGGCTCTCGTTAATTTTGATATCAGATCCGGAGTGCGGGGGACCGGAAGGAGGACTTGGAAGGAATTTTCGCCACAATACCTGTGCAGAGCGCAAATCGTGGGAACTGGTGCGCGCGTTGCAGTACATACTTGCGTGCTTCTTCCACAAGAGGCAGCAAGGACCTTTACTTTTCCCAAAGTAATCATGCACACAAAGCAGTAGCAGCCAAACTACATTTTTTTTAATTGAAGACGCATTAAAATAATGACAAAGAAGAAGAATGCGCACAGAATTATAATCTCATTTAGAGTTGGCTAGGTTGTTGACTGCGTACGTTGTTGACCGAACGCGCTGAGTTGACTGAATGCATTTTGTCTACGAGCGCTTTGGTCTGAATGCATTCGGTCTAACACCGCTTGGCCCAAATGCATTTGGTCTGGACCAAACGCAATCCACAATGAAATCTCCTACTCTCAGCGCGTTCGGTCTAACAACTTGGTCCAAAAGCAATTTTATTTAAGAGCTGCCAACTTTTGCGCTATTTTTGGGTGATAAAACTACGTTCGAGCAGGTTCAGAAGGAAATAAGAGGTGCGCAGAAGAAAATGATAAAAATTCAATTTTTATGAGACGGCAAGTTTATTTTTTAATCTTCTTTGGCCTATACAGCAACCAATTAATTGATTAATTGGTCTTGTTTATTACGTTAAAACATATTGGGGGCGATTCCAAAAGGCTAACTTGGCCCAGGCTGAATTTAACCAGCCATTCAGTTTTGCTGGTGGGCTAAGTTGGCCCGGGGCCAAGTCAAGTTTAAATTATTAACTTTTGATTAAACGCCTTTTACGTGGAATTTTGTTCCGAGACGCGAGATACTGTGACAAAATCAGAGTAAAAAAGCTATAAAAATTCCTGTTGTGATAATAAAAAATATAAATTTATGGCGAAAATTTCCCAAAATTAACACTTTTAAAACCACCCCAACTGCAGGCACTTGTGCTATCGATAAAAAAAGAACTACTCTCAGCTGGCAGATTCCTGTTGAAGCTTTTGTCAAGGGTGCCTGTACCAGGAAATCACATTTTATTAAAGAAATTAAAAAATAATAATAAAAAAATATAAAATATTTGAAAAAAATTAATACCTGATGAAGTTCATAATCTGTAAAGATCACTTTCCTGGTTATGTTCTAAAACCACTGCGATAATTTTTCAACTAAAAATAGCGCAAAAGTTGGCAGCTCTTAAAAAAATTGCTTTTGGACCAAGTTGTTAGACCGATCGCGCTGACAATGAGAGTAGGAGATTTCATTGTGGATTGCGTTTGGTCCAGGCATTCGGGCCAAGCGGCGTTAGACTGAATGCATTCGGACCAAAGCAAGGTAAGCTATTGAGATGACACACGCCGATTTTGTTGAAATTTGGTATGCAACTTGCACTACCCTTGGGTGTTCTGGAATGGCTATCAAAAGTTGCCCAATTTCACAAGGGAGGGTAGTTTCCATTAAAACGCACGTTAAAAATGATCAAATGTAGGCAACAAAAGCGTCCTCTGTGTATTATGTTGCCTACATCTGATTTCTCCAATGTAATTCAAATTACATGGAGTTAAAATGGCAAAAATTAAACAAGGAAAATTGGGCAAAAATTAATGGCCGTTCTGGGGTACCAATGGAATCAAAGTGCGCTGTGTCCATGTATGGAAGAATTGCAATGAAAAATTATCTACCTTGTAATTGAAACCACATTTTTTAACTATGCAAAATTAGATCTTAATTACAAAAAATCTGCTTTAAATTTTAAAAAACAAAAGGACATTTTGGAAAATACTTGCCCAAACTCGCAATCGAGCATCATAGTAAATAGCCAATTATTATTAAGATTATTAAGTAGAGTAAGTAGAATTTGTTACCTAAATTTGTTCAGAAAACACAAACATGGATGTATGTGCGTTTAATTAAATAAATTCATTTTCGATTGAAGCCTCAGCTGTCCTTCACTGCGTTGATTACTCTCAAGAAGTGCCACGTTATTAGTGAAAGAGGAAAAGAATAATACAATATTGTAGATCGGATTTCATGTTGGGCTGACCGGCAGGCGAGTCATGCGAACAGGACAAGTGGAGCACAACTCTTGGTCGAGCCTTTCCTCCCAGTGATCGCATCTCACAATTTGGTGAGAAAAAATAGTAACTTGCCTTAGTATACATTTACTTTATCACTGTGTTAGAAATTGATCGTTCTAATTTAATTTTAAAATTCACATTTTTCACATTTGCGTTTGAGCTCCTTGTCGAAAGTAAGGTGGGTTTGGGTCGGGTGGAAGTTATAATAGTCAATAATGATTATGGACAAAGGCCGTTTTCTTCACTTGCAAAAATAAATAAACTGATAATTTTCAATGAGAAATAAAATTTGCGGCAATTTGTGTAATTTTTCTTTAAGTATTCCATTCGTGCAACATTTCTTATTTCTGATTAAGACATAAAGAGTCTATAGATTGCAGTATACATTATAACAACTAAATAGAACGCAGCACATATTGCAGTGACGTTTGTGTATGTCAGGCTGAGGTAAAACAGGAAGTTGAATTTGAATAACAATGAGTTAAATTTTAAAAGTTATTGGCTGCAATTGTCAATTCGTTTCCTGCTTTTCTTAAGAAAAAAAAGAAACTTGGAAGCGCCAGGCTAAAGTTTCATTACTTTTCATTTGCGATATGGTATGAAAAATGCTTGAAGAAAATTGCCAAACACTGGTGTGCAAGCATCTTCACGTGAAGTCTTTAACTAATATTGTTATCTAGTCACATTATATTATTTTTATTATAAGTTACTTAATATTTCCCAGACGTTTAAAAAACATGATGTTGTATATAATCATGTTTACTTGAAATACATAACTTGAGGCCTGTTGAGTCTTTGGCAACTCATTTTTAAGGAATTTTAAATCCTGCCTGTCTTGTCTGACCACGCCCTTGAATGTGTGAAATTTTACAAAAAATAATTTCAAATCATTTCCACAAAACTTTAAATCTTTGAAAAAACTTGCATGTCAAACCTAACAGATTGAACCCGACAGCGCATTCCCCTCAAATCATAATTGTTAGAATTTTTTATCGTCTTCCTGAAGTATCAATAACATAATTAGTTATTCCGTGTGGAGGAATCTGAAATAATCTTCTATAAGGCGCATAAATATGTTTTGTGTAAATATTTGTGAGTTTGTGTTTTATTTATTTGTATTAAAAAATATTAAAACGACTTTTTTAGTGGTTTTACGTATAGAATTTATCGTTTGATTGTGCAATGCATTCAAACTTATTTACAATAAACGTTTGATGCTTTTGTATATACCGATGCTTAAAAAAATAAGTATATCTTGAATTATTCTAAATTTGAATTTGATCAGGAGGATTCCACTGGTGACTAAAATAGACAAATGCTGCTATGCCGTAAGAAAAATTCATTACACTCCATTTATTTATTTTATTATTTAGATAAAGACCACGAGAGGCGACGATGGGACCGATTTGTTGTAACATTTCTAGAAGGTTTTTGGTTACTTAAAACTATTTAAACAAAATGGATGCCTATCGTTTTGAAAAGCGTTTTTTTTACAAATATTGCAGATTTTTTTCCGGAGTGATTTAGGAATGAAGCTTAAATCCAGCTTAAATCAGAAATTATTGTTTGAAAAATTTATTAAAATCAAACATTTCATATGGTTTTCACCAATTTCAAGGCATATTAATTGAAAAGGAGGACCATATTTTTTTTAAATTATCATTATTGATTCTTAGTCGATTGTTAATTCAATTTTTTTTTAGAAAAAAATGAATTTTTTTCATAAAATTGTAGATTAGCGTGGTATGTATGTTTCAAAAGAAAGACTAAGAAAGCAAAATATTATGGATGTTTAGGTGTTGTCCTACCAATCAAAAACGTATAAATTATTTAAGCTATACATTTACTTGCTTCAATGAAATGGATGAATAGTCAAATATAACAACCCTTATAATTATCTTTTTAGTTGGACAATTCTGCTTTTTTGAAATGTTTGATTCCTCAGTGGGACATACCTCGTGGGCCTGGACGTAGATATCGGCGACGGAAGGCAAGTGCGTGGACATGGGCGTTAGGGTCTGCAGAGAGGCACTGCTGTCGAGGGGATGGTGCTGGTGGTGCAGAGCCTGCAGGGGCATCAGGTGGTGGTGCTGGAGATGTTCGAGCGGCAAGCCTCCGCCAGGGGAGACGCCGGCGGCTGCATCGAAACTTGTGACCTCCAGCTTGGTGGCCGATTTTGAACTCGGAAAAATGCTTTTTCCTAGACACCGAAAAATTCAGAGCCGACAGCCCTGAGGTGCTACCAATTGCGAGCCACCGTGACGTAATTAAATTGTGCGCTCCACGAGCCGACAATCAAAACAGGAGACTCCTCCCCGTGCCTCCCACTTTTGCATTCTTCAATCAAAGTGTACCGCTTTAAAGGTGCAATCCGGAGCCGAGATATATAACGCCACGAAAGAATCTGGAACGATCAAACCAGATTTTTGGCACCACACAACCCTTAAATTGTCATTATTATTGTTTTAGATGTATGGCATTATGAAATGTAATCACAAAATTATAAAATATCCCCTGCGATCCACCCATTGACAATTTTGTCAGTTGAAATGAACAGCAGGGAAAAAGAAATTACTTATTTACAAGCAGTTTTTTGTAATTTGCAACTAATTTACATATTCCTCTTCAGTATGTCTGTAATGTGACACCATAAGGTAATTAAAAAGATGCAATATTTATTATTATTATTTACTCTTTTTGGCCGATCAGAAAATCACGTACAAAATGTTTTAAAATAAAGAGCATTATTATTTTTTATTTAGCTCAAGTCATACATAAAAAAAAAATTGAAATCGAAAAAATGAGCAGAAAGGACTTCTCATATCGCAGAGGTCTGCTAAAACGCACAACATCAAAAAAGACGCGGCTGTCGCGGTGAATCCAGGTTGAAGATGTTTGTTAAAAACCCAACATGAAAATTTATTCGTCCGCCGAGGAAAACCCAAACTATTGGAGAATGAAACGGTTAAAGAAGCTATGGATACGCATATTTATTATTAATATTATTAATAATTTTTTTTTTTTTGATCAAGCACATCAAAGTACAAAAAAATTACATACATACATAAAGAAAAAATTTTCGATATTAATATTATAATTATAAATAATATGTTATTTAATTTAAATTTATAAATTGTTAAAAAAAAATATTAATTAAAATTAATTTTGATTTTTAAAGTAATTAAAATTTTAATTGTTATCAAATTTCGCTTTTATAAATCTAAATATTGAAGAATTGTACTCTGATGAGGTATTTTCAATAAACTATAATTGCAACTCTTTCATTAGCTTATGGTGTGATATTACATAATAGTGCACGCAGACGTTATTCACCCATTTGCAATTGGGCCAAAAGAAAATAGATAAGAGTTAAGAAGTCAAACATATTTACATCAATTTACAAGTTCACCATGAAATATAATATGTATATGAGATATAATAATGTAATATCACTTATGACACAATAAAAGAGAAGGAATAAATCAAGAAACACTTTTGAACTAGTTAACAAGTTTAAATGAATTTACTGTTATCAGCCATCAAAAGACTATATTTTAATTCAATTCAATTCATTTTATTTTCTCCAAACAAGTCAAACAATCAATTGTGAAAAATTGATTGGGAGAAAAATAGGCACACAGTACTAGTGAACAACTCACTGAAACTCATAGCCGAGTATTTACCGATAGGCGATAAATACCCGACTACTCGCCGCACTGCAGCCTAAACTACGGGAAAAAAAGAACTCTTAAACGAGTTCTAAAGCACTGAATTATATAATTCATATTATAATGTGCAGTTTTGACAAGTAAAATTTCTCACGCTAAATTTAAAGTTTTTTCCCTTTGCAAGTAAGCATCGGATTTTTTTCTCTAGATTTTAATTTTGAATCTGAAATATTTTTAAGACTACTGTCTAACAGATTCAAGATTTATTTATTTTTTTAAGCATTATATACCACATAACATACAGATAGTAATAACTAATAACCGCTTCTTAAAATAAGTTAATATACATTGCATTAATCAAATGATGAAATTCGTTCAAGTCATAGAATTTGTGTTCTAATACAAATAACAATATGAATAAAATTTATAAATAACAATAAAATTAAATCGAATTTAGGGTCCAATGTATAGTGTCTGCTGGTTTTTAATGATCTCGTCCCATTGTTGAATATTTGTGTAATTTTTGTCATTGCCAATGACACAATAAAAGAGAAGGATTAATAATTAATAATATAGTTATTGGAGCCTTGAGAAACTCCGGAATTTACGCCAAAGTTCTCACTATTTTTGTTATTTACTAAAAAAAATATGCGTCCAGAGAGGAAATTGAGGAGCTGCAGGAAAGGGCCATCAAAACCTAACTATTTCAATGTTTTTGCTAATTTTTTTGCACATAAGAATGTCGAATGCCTTTTTTAAATCGATAAAAATAGGTATAACATGTTTTAATTGGCACTGTTTAATTCTCCTAAAAGTGCGAACAGCGCTCGGGCGACTAAGTTTTCTTTCCGAATCGCGAATTGAATTCACTGCCAGCGGTCTATTATAAAATTGTACGGTTCCATATTTTAAAATTGCATGTAAAGAGTTTCAGACTCTTTGATACATTTTCTCCCAGTCGGAGTTATTTGGAAACATTTTTGCTTTAAAATTGGGCCTATGAGTTTTAATAAAGTTGTTTACTAGGGCTAGCTGCCAATTCTTTCCCAATGTGACTTTCCTATTTCTGAAGAATAAATGAAATGAATTGCTCTCATTTTTATTGTTATATCCAAAATTAAGTGGATTAAGTATTAGACGCCTGTAATACAACTGGGGTGCAAAGTGCAGCCTTCTCAAAGCTCTTAACACAAAATCCTTCAGCCCTCGGCCCACTCACTTATTTGTGTAAATTAAAGTCCAGCGATAATGAGATTGCAAAATTAATATAACTATTGAAGGAAACTTAAAAGTGTTAAATTTATTATTTATTGTTGAAGTACCAGTTCTATGATGAACGAATACGGGAGATGTGAATTGGAATGCTTAAATTTAGCAGCGTGAGACCCCGCTGCAGGGTTTTTTTTTTTTTTTTTGGGGGGGGGGGGGGGTGGTTCCCTCTGCACTGCATGAGGAGGGATAGTAATATGCTTGCCCACCCCCGCCAAATTATTAACGGCGTGCGAATAACCTCAATCACACTGTTAAATGAATACATTCTTAATAAAATTTTGCCCTAGAATTAATGACTTGCTGTTAAGGCAAATTGGAGATGTATTACATATGTCTAATGCAATATATTTTTACCTAATATAATCTAACTTAAGCAAAGAATAACCCTTGACTCGCAGCCCTAGTATGATAAATTACTCAGGTTCCCTTGAAAAATATATATTCGCCGAGAGTGGGAATCGAACCCACAATTTAAGGGATGGAGGACAAGCACACACAACTTAGCCACTGAAGAGACGATAATAATATTCGGTTTGAGGAGCAAATTTAGTAGTCCAAAAATCAGTGCAGGTTTGCGTGCTGGTTGAGCAAAGATGGCATCTCAATTGGCACTCTCATTAAAAGTCACTGGCAATTAACAACAGGAGTTTTTCTCACGCCGCAAATTTCTCATCAGAGCTGCTGTGCTAGCAGAGGAGTTTAATTTTTTAATTTATCTTTCTCCTAATCACATAGCATTGTTGTTATCAGCGGCAGAGCAGTGGCAGTGCTCATTGTTGAGAGCCCAAAACACTACCCCGTTAGGAATATAATAGTGAGATTTTTCCCACACAACATCAGGCTCATTGTGTTCTGCCCTCGGATGAAGAAAAGCGGCAGACGACTATCTGTTTTTATTAAATTACTAATATTATTATTACATGAATCCCGCCATAAATGAATTGCTTGCCGTTTTAACTTGCACTATACATTCTTAATAATTTGACAGAGAAACCAAAACTATATTTTAAAATTTGTAATTGTACTCACCAATTTTAAGTTGAATTAAAGTAGGTTTGGCACAGCTGTGACTAGATCAGATTCCTGCAACAATTATAATATTTTTTTAATCAACATCCCTAAACAATTTTCAGAATTAAATAATTATTGAAAATATTTTGCATATATTGTGTTTCTGGGTGTTTCCACTCTTGAATTTTTTATACAATGTTACAAATAGGGCGCATAGCAACGGTTCAGATTCAAATATTAGGAGAATATTTAAAAAAATCAAATTTAAAAAAGTCACTTTTGAAAAACGTCATTAGTAAATGATTGTTATTCAATATTACAAGTAAAAGAATAGTTAAAACTCTGCATAAAAGAAGAAAATTCATTTTTGCCATAAAATACTGGCATTGATTCCGCATTTAGATCACAATATTTACAACGATCTTTAGAATAAGTCAGTACCTTAACATAAAATACTATTCAAATTTACACAGCAAGATACTCATGCATCATGCATGTCATAAAAAATTTCAGCAGCTTTTGTAAACAACTTTACATCAATTACTTTTAATCTTTCTGGGAGGTGGTTAAATATTTGTGAGATCCTTATTTCGGGACTTTGTGCTGTTAAATTAAGTCTCACTGGTTTAATAAACAAGTCCTCCTGCGTGACTGGATTATTTCTCGTATTATAATCCTCACTTTCCATACTTCTCACAAATGGTCCTGGATATTTTTTAGCAAATTTGACACACTCTAGTGCATACAGTGAAAACGCAGGAAGTATTTTATATCTCTTGAACAAGGGGTGGCATCATGATCTTACTAGTGTCAAAGACTTCCAGTAACGCCAACCAGCCATCGCTCTCAGGACCCTTTTCTGAGCAACAAAGACTTCATCAAAAGCAGGGGAACCACCCCAGATAATTGAATACAAAATATGACTTTGGACGTGTGCAAAATACACTGACCGTAAAATTGCTGGCAAAACTCTTTGCCTCAGTTAACAAACAAATAAGTAGTACTCCTTAACTTCAACATCACTTGCTTGACAAACGTGATGAGTTATACTAAAAAGAAACTTTGAAGAATAAAAATTGGCAAAGTGCAATGTTCAATGATCGCCAAGTGTTTACGAGATTTGCTTGTCACGAGTACCTCTACTTATTCTGTAAGAATAATAATTTCCATTCTCAGGCGACCATTGTGAATGCAAGCATTGCGGTAATAAATGCTCACAATATCATATTCTATAATGTAAAATGAGCGAAAACTAAGACTAAGAGAGGCTGCAAAAAATCAGAATTAACTGACTTTGTA